TCTCTAAGAAACCACTTTTACCAGAGGAACAATCTCTCTTGGAGAAAGGCCCTAAATTTGCCCCAACGCCAACTAACATACCTCATAAGAACATCCTGGCTGAAATTGAAGCTGCCATCTGCCACCTGCCTGATGATTCCAAAGATACAGTTAGAACAAGTTCTGCTGCCATTCTTCATAGGGAACGACTACCGGCACACAATAATGTATCCAAAGAAGAAAGAAAAGCTTTAAGGTGGCTCGTATTGGTTTTCGTCCTTTTGATGGTTTGTAACTTTGAAAGAATACAACAGAAAGACTGACCAAGGCCAGTTAAACACTTTCACGGGGTTGAATTATATAATCATTGGTTATCCAAAAATATGTGTCTGTTCATCACTAGCAGTTTCCATGGCAACGCTTTCATAGGCTTATTCAAACGCATTTTGTAGCTTGTGGCTTAAATAATTCGAAAACTAACCCGGTGACCCCATGATTTTTTTCAGTGATTGCTCTTGGCACTTGCAAAGGAAAATGCACAAAGATTTTTAAAAAAATTCTACGGGGCGGATTTCAGAAAATCTAGAAAAAAGGCAATTTTTAGACATCGCAGATTTCCTTCCGTAGAATTTTCTATTTTTTTTCTGATGATTCCTTTCGACGTTATCGTCATATTGGAACAATAAAAAGAAGGGGTCACCGGACTTGTTTTCATACAATAGCTTTCGTGAGGTTAGCAATTTCCAAGCGCGTTCTCGCGCATTTAAAAATCTGGATTCTATAAGATCGACATTTGCTCAGGATCTGTTGTAGCTACCGCTGACAATTGTGTGTGCTCACGCGCGCGCCTACTATCTGATGTTTACAGACGTTTACTGCTAATTAAAAAAATCATTAAACAGCTGTCAAAGACAGCCTCCCGGGCTCATCTTAAAAATCCTACACAGGACTTCTGGCTATATCATATTATTTTCCTTTAAGTTTCGAAGTCTTCATCCAGTTCAGGTAGATTATCCTTCACTTGAGTTCTTCTGATTTCGCCGTCGCAAGATTTCATATCGGTTGAATATTTCTTTTAAATGTGAAGTGAAGTAACCTTTACGTCTCCGAAAATCGTCTTCTCTATCTTAGTTTCTATCTCTTGCATTCACAGTGGCCGATCAACACATCAAATACAAGCTTTTAGGTAAACTTCTCACAAAAGTAGAAAAAAATTCCACGCGCCGCCATCTTTGTTTTGAATTTTCATCTTTTGATCTCGCGCTTCTTTCGCACGTTTCTCTCGTCACGCAAGAGTGACCTCTTCGCAGCGCGAGGAAACTGGTACAAGCCACCTTAAACAACCTTAAGAAATACGAGTCCAGAGTCGTAATGAAGGCCGAAAAGGGGAACCGTTTTGTTGTCATGGATAAATCTGACTATGACAGCAGGATGAAAACCTTAATCAATGAGAGGTCCAGCTATGAAGTAGTTCCCACATCTCCTTACCCCCGAATTGAACGTGAACTGAACGCTCTGCTTCTCTCCCTAAAGAGACAGCTATAGATAGATCAACCTACATACCGCAAACTTCACTAAAATGAGGGCATTCCACCAGCGATTCGCGGTTCTGTTAAGCACGATAAAGAAGGGGACCCGCTGAGGCCCATCGTCACCTGTATTGGCTTAGCGCTCCACCACACGTCCAAATTTCTGACGGATATCCTTTCTCCGCTTCAGAGTCGTAACAGATACTCTGTTACCGACTCTTTGCATTTTTCCAAAGAAATATCTGATATAGAGATATATGATAATGAAGTTTTGGTCTCTTTTGATGTTGTCACTGTTCACCGCAATCACTGTAGGTAAAGCATGTATGTACGTAAAAAAAAATTGAACAAGATGCCACTCTTTCTTCAAGGACAAATTTGGACTTTGATGATATCACTACAGTTCTTCAATTCACCTTGTCTAACAACTCCATGTGAAGAGTTTTTTTCATTTTTATTTTTCTCGCTAAGGATCTGAGATCGGATTACTGATTTAAAATCACGAAGGCTATTTGCGAAAAGAATGAAAACCAGACCAAAAAAGAAAAATCTGAGGGCGATCATAAGCGAATAAAAAGGAAAGGAGAGTCTATACCAAACGAGCAGCATATCTCAATCATGTTCTGGTCGTTGCTACAGTAACGACATCTGTGATGACAGCTGAAAAAGAAATACACTCATAAATGAAAAGGAAATTGCTTACAACAAGATCTTTTGAAACATTTTTAATTCGAGTAAAACGAAGGGCTGAATAAAGTAAGTTATTTTCTATCACTGGAAGGAAGGCAAGAGATGATGTTCATAAATTTAGCGAAATTTTTGGTTGCTCCATCTCAGCAGATGTATTTCGGTTTTGAACGTCTAACTTTGGTTATTGATGATGGATCAGTTAAAAGCGAAACATTTCTTATCTTGTTTTACAGCGGACGCTAGGCCTCAATATTCATTGCCTTTAAATAGTTGGATTTTGATCTAAAGATAGTTGTCGATGAAACCCAGGATTCTTTCTACGAAAGGTAAGCTTTCTGTGTGTAATAACTGACGCTTCGTGAACTACGGTGAACTTTTCATTTTCTAGCGTGTTTAGTCTGCATAATATCAATCACATACAAAATAAGATCAAAGAATACCTTTGAACACAAACAACTTGTGGATTAAATAATCTAGAAATGTAATATGTTTGTGTCTTGCAATTAGTAGTGTTGTAGCAAAACTTACGTCGTAAAGAATAATTTAAAAGTGAATGTAAGAACTCTAAAAAAGTTTCGTGGTTTTTCGGTCTCACTTCGTGAGAATAAAGAAAATTTTTCTCTACCACTGGAAGAAAGGTAAGAAAAGATATTTACCCTCATTTTTATGTATTTCGGTTTTGTGTGTCTAACCATAGTTGTTGTTGATAGATCTGAGCGTGAAAAACTGAAACCTTTTTTTATCTTGTTTTGTATTGGACGTTAGGCCTCAATACTCATTGCGTTTGAACAGTTGGATTTTCATCTAAAGATCGATCAGTATAAAACTGAGGCTTTTATCTTTCTAAGGTAAGCTATCCGTGTGTAACAACTGACGCTTTATAAACTTTTCATTTTCCTGTTGATGTAATTTGCATAATATCGATTGCAGACAAAATAAGAAAAACCAGATGCGGTTAAAAAGCATCATGCTCTGACATGACGACATCTAAAGCCATTTGTTACATTATCATGAAGATTCTTTTTCTCCCATTGGCAGGGAAAGTGACCTCAATCAAAAGATTTCAGTGAAGATCCTTTGTTTACTTTCATCGGTGAGTTTATTTAGAGCTGATATACTCAGTTTCATTTCCCTTGCGTTAGTTACGTGACAGCGTTACGAGGCCCTTAGTGGACAAATAGTAACGTACATGCATGTCACGGAGAGTTTTAAATTTTTATTTTTCTCGCTAAAGATCTAAAATTGGATTACTGATCTAGGATCACGAGGATAGCTTACGAAAAGACAGGTACAGCCAGTCCAAAAAATCTACCTGAGGGCGATCAGGTGTCAATATAAAGGAAAGGAGAGTCCATACCAAACGAGCAGCATATTTTAATCA